AACCATGCCAAGAGCTGGAGGCTGCTGATGTGGTCAGATAATGGCAGTGATCAAGTTGCCCAAACTATTCTAAAGCTCTTGCCTGTAGCTGTCTGATGAGACTCTACCGTTGCACAGAGCATGGCCCTCGTGTTCAGATTATCTTGTGCTGACTGCAACTTCAGCTTGTGCTTGCTCTCATCCTCTGCACTAAGCAAGGACTTCAAGGACTGAGAGGTTTGCACGGAGGCACTGCAGGTGATGGTAGCAACCGATGCCTGGAAACATTAGCAAGGAAAGTACACTGCAGTTGAGTCCAAAGTGTGATTTATGTGCACCTTTCAGATAAAGGAGGCTGGGATAAGTTGTGGGTCAACTGACTAGTGTGGTGTCATTCATAAGAGAGATCCCAGAAATTTTTCCATGCACAATTGCTTCAGGCTCCCTTGGCACTGATGCTCTCCCCCCTATCTCCCTGTTGCCAGAACGCTCCCTTGGCTAACACTGGCTGCTGGCAGATGTGTTTTCCATCTACACTGCAGTGTTAGAAGTTCTCTGCGTGACATGCCCTGTATGGAAGAGATCCCTTTTGCCTTTCAGACATCCTAGCATGCTGAATGCTTCAAGAATACTCCAGCCCCTCATTTTTAGGCACATCATACCCATGGACTGTGTGTGTTTGGGCTTGCAGTTTACCCTGAAATTGTCCTTACACAAGCTCAGTCTAGGTAAAAGCAAAAGCAAGGGTCTCTCGGGAACATATAGAGAGACAGCACCATTACCAAGGCTTAGAAGGACACAGGTGACAGGAAGGAAAGACCGGTCATAAGCTACTTGGGATGAAATTTTAATGGCAGTTCTTACTTGTATCCAGATGAGAAGCAGTAGTTTCTTCCCTAATCCTTGTGGGCAGGTATTGGATACTGGTGCACAGCCAGCATTTCCATATGGTGTTCACAAGAGAGAACACTGGCGTGAGGAAGGTTTGCCTTTACATCCCACCCTCTCCACAGGGTTTCCCTGTCTTCCACCATGATTTCATTCTTCTTTTTCCCAGCTCCCCTCTTTACCAATGATTTCTTACCTCTTGGTCCAGTTTGCAGCTTTTGACCTTTCTTGCATTAGATCATTCTCCACTGCCCTCTTTAGAAATGCTCCTGTCCCTTTGATAAGGTCAATGTAGTTATCACTTGTATGCCCAGACAGAGAGCGGGCTCCTTTTAGGATGGCACCAGGGCTTGGCTAAGCCCTGGGCATAATGGCAGGACACTGTGAGGATGGACACTTCCATTTGCCATGCAGGGCAGGATTCAGATACAAAGGAGGGGGGGTTGAAGTTACAAACCTTGCATTTTATACAAACGTGACTTGTTAACTGCACATGCCTGTGACTGATGTATGCAGCGCCAGAAATGATCTTCAGAAGACTGGACACAAGAGTAATTAATCCCTGTGGAATAACGAGAAGTGTGGAGGTGAGAGATACTGTGACATTCACGGTAAATGCTGCTGGTGTTGGCAATTATTTCCTGGGCAATAGTAAGTAGAGAAAAGGAACAGAGGAGAATTATTAAGGGATTCATTTTGTTCTTCCTTAAATGTGGTTTCACTTGACTTAAACCAGACCTAAACATAGCCTTGTGTATCAGTTTAACTAGATTGGTTTGTATCCATGCCTTCCATTAAAATGACATACACATCTGTGTATCTAAGACTGTAGTATGGTGTAGATATACTTGCCGGGCTTGCTGCCATCTCTGGGGATATTTGGCTGACTTTGTAACAACTACAGTCCAAGTTATAGCTTCAGAAAAGTCCAGGTCATGTTTGGCCCATACTTAGTGCTGCCAGCAAAGATGGATCAGAAATATCGTTCAGAGCAGAGTAGAGCTGTTTGCTTTCTGAAGAGGGTGAGCTGAGATGGGCCTTGCTTTGTCTTGTTTCCCGTTCCGCTTAAAGGTGTAAACATTATTCTGCAAATGCTCAAGAACTTCAGGATTCTGCGTTATGCTCTGTTGCAGCAGAATTGCGGTGTGTCCTGTGCTTATGGTTGGCATTTGCAGCAAAGCATTCTTGAAAGACACTTGTCAGGTCTGGCATTTGCTCCTGTTGATACATCTCTCACCTCCTCATCGTTTTAAAGTTAAGGAGAAAAAGAAAAAAGTCTTTTTTACTTTGTTTCCTAATTACTATGTTGTCACTTCAGGGTTTTTCTGTTAGCCCGCAAATAGGGATAATTCAGAGCAGGATCACTTAATCCCTCTTTTGGGGTAACCTGAAATGTGCAGTTCAGTGTTTCGGTTTTGGAACCATTGAGAATACCTTGTAATTGCTAATCAGAGAGCTCTACTTGCTCTCTGTGGAGACAGAGCCTCAGCTATGGGTATGGCTTGATTGTAACTCCTTAGCAGATGTTTAAATCCTAATGCTTGAGGTAACTGGTGTGTGTGCTCTTCTCCTGCATAGTTTTTAAAGGTTAACTATGGGGTAAAGGAAGACTGAAATGAAGACATTGTAGTTAATCATTTATTCTACATATTTTATTTCAAACAGATCATTAAATGCTCATATATCTATACATATGTATTTTTACTTATTCTCCAGACACTGTCAGCAAGTCACCGTCTGAAGTTTGTTCATGAAATATGTGGTGTAAAGAATCAAGTGCGGAATTACTGTGGGTTAAATACATCTCACTTTGTGCTGTATTTGTTTTGTGATTATGTGACCTCTGTATTTTGAGCTTTGATAGCTAAGTGATGTTATACAAACTCAGCTGTCTGCCTGCCCTCTCTGTCAGAGGTTATCCTCTTTAGTGCAGGGCTAACAGGAAAATGCGTGCCTGTAGTTGTGTACCTCAGTTCAAACTCACCTTTATCAGCAATTCCAATTAAAATGGACTTTGCAATGAAACTACTTGTGTATTGGCAGACGTTCCCTTCTGCCGATCCTGCTGCAGTATTGACAACCTGTAACAGAGATACAGGGAGAAAGGCTGGAGGAGGTACCATCTTAACTTATTACAACAAAATTAGCCAGAGATTGTCTGTCAGAGACTTTAAATGAACACGGGAAATGTACCTTTTAAAATAAATACTAAATTAGAAATTGACACAAAAAACTCTTTGAACTCTGGAGCAAAAATGCACTGCAAGTTTGAGCATTTTAATGTTGTCAAGAAAGGAATATAGAGAGCTCATGATGCCATTTGAAACTTTAAATTTTCTCATTAATTCTAATGGAGATTTGACTCAGAGCTTCTCTTTTATGCTTCTGAATGAATGTCAAAAGGAGTCAGTGGCTTAGCAATAAGCATTCATCCCCATGGTTGGTAATGGGAATGACTGCTTTGACTTAGCAACACAGAAACATGCATTTTCTTGATGCTGCCTGGGTCAGCTGCAGCCACTCCAGGCTGTGCTTACCCAACGCTGTTTTTCTTCTTTTTTCTGGCTCTTGTTTCAAAATTTTTTTTAAATTAAAAAATCCCAAATATTTTTCATGTCTTAAAGATATATTTTCACTCTAACACCCCATTCTGTTTCACCCTTGATGTGTTAGAAAGAGTCAGATATCATAGAATCATAGAATAGTTTGGGTTGGAGGGGACCTTTAAAGGTCATCTAGTCCAACCCCCCTGCAATGAGCAGGGACATCTTCAACTAACTATCCAGTTTTGTTTTGGTTTTGTTTTTTTTTTTTTTTTTCCACAAGGAGACACAAGAGAAAGCTGTCCCTTACTTTTGATCCTCAATGTGCAATCTCTGCCTTGATTAAATTTCAGCTGCCCACTCTAACGCCCTCTTTTCCAGTCCTTTTGCCTCTCACCTGTCATCTTCTACCCTGTCCAAAATGCTGCCTCACCAGTTGTCTTCCTAGTTCCTCTGGTTCTACTTATTCCCTTGTCAAATCTCTTCACCAGCACCTCTTTGCTCCTTTTACAGGACTCTTCAGTGTTAGTTGCCCTAATGCAGAAATGGGATCTCATGCAAAGGGAATAATTCAAACAAACAAAAAAAAATTTCACAGCAAAAAACTGCATTCCCTTAAGCACAGAACTGATTTTCCTGGTTGACCAAGAAAGCTTCCTCTAAATCAGAATCTTGCCTATAAATAATCTCTTCTCAAGCTCAAAATTGTGCCACCAGCTTCTTCCTATCACTTACTTTCAGTTTCTTACTGTAGTATTGGTAGTATTACGCAGTATTCTTTTCCCAGGTCAGAACATGTGAGCATCCCTGCTGTGCAAAATAATAAATTCTATCATTCATAGCATAAATAATGTATAATACATTGATACTACCAACATGCATATATATCAATATTTTGTTAACACCAGTGATACAACATATGGAATCCCTCTTAAATTTAAAGCACATGATTGAAAATCCTGACACATCCCCTTTCTCTGCTCGGTGGAACAGGCTATAGCTTGAAACTGTGTCCCTTCATTTTAGTGTTACTTCTGGCTTAAATCAGTACCACTGCACCACGAGCCATCTGAAAAAAATGTTGAATAGTGCAGAAGTCCAATGTGCTTTCAGCCACTTCCCACCATAAGCTCCCTGAACAGAAGATAAAGCATGTTTGCAGCGGGGCCATGCAGCCCACTGACTGGTGGTCTTCCTGCAGACCGGAGAGGGAGATGAGACTTTTTTTTTTTTAAAATAGACTAGATAAACATGCCTGGAAATGGCAGCTCTCTCGACTGATGGAGCAGTGCTTCCTTGCAGGTTTTCCCACTGCCTTCAATTGCTCTGTGATGTGCTTGCTTCCCTCTCCTATTTTGAAAGGGAAGAAAATCTCCATTGAAAAACAAAATCATAAAAAAAAAGCAGCAGGAAAGACCAAGGGATGCTATTAATAAAGTGAGGGCTCTTGCCAAGAAAGGCTGAGTTTTCCAGCGGCCATTTTACCACCCTTGTTTCTTTATTAAACAAAGCTGTTTTTTAATGAGACTGTCTCGTTTTGCAGATGTGGTCCTGGGCTCTGAACATCCTCCCATGTGTTTTGTTTTGCAGGAGGCAGCACAGGCACCTCCCCGACCACGTCCAGCACAGGGACCCCGTCGCCCTCTGCTTCCTCTCACCTTCTCTCTCCATCCTGCTCTCCTCCAGCCTTCCATCTGGCCCCCAACACTTTCAACGTTGGCTGCCGTGAGAGTCAGCTTTGCAACCTCAACCTGTCTGATTATCCCCCGTGTGCCAGAAGCAACATGGCCGCCTTGCAGAGCTACCCAGGGCTGAGCGATGGCGGCTACAACCGGCTGCAGAGCAGCACCGCTTCCGCCTCGCAGCCCTCCGAAACCTTCATGCCTCAGAGGACTCCATCCTTGATCTCAGGAATGCCAACTCCTTCCTCCCTGCCCAGCAACAGCAAGATGGAGGCATACAGTGGCCAGCTGGGGTCCTTCCCCAGCTCCCAGTTTCAGTATGTCATGCAAGCAGGCAATCCTGCCTCCACCTCCTCCTCTTCACACATGTTCGGTGGCGGCCACATGCAGCAGAGCTCCTACAACACCTTCTCCCTGCACAATCCCTACAACCTCTATGGATACAATTTCCCTGCTTCCCCCAGGCTGGCGGCAAGCCCAGAGAAACTCACCACCTCCCAAAGCACTTTACTCTGCTCTTCCCCGTCCAGCGCGGCCTTTGGAGAGAGGCAATACATTTCCACGGGGATGGATCATGGGATGCACATGATCAGCCCTCCCTCCAGCAACCAGCAGATGGCCAACGCCTGTGACAACAGACAGTACGGTGCGGTTCAGGGCTCCTCCTCACAGATGTCTGTGCACATGGTCTAACACGCCATGCCTCTCCTTGGCATCGAAGGCAGCTGGACCTTCATCATTTCCAGGGGTAAACCCATCCCAGTACCTTTTTGCCTTCAAACTTATAGTGGAACTAGTATTGTAATGATAAATAAGAACACAAGCCATCTAGCTATGCACCACAGAACCTTGTGGAAAGCCTCAACTGACAGCCATCGCAGCTTGTTGTAGCCCAGGGCCTCCAGACCTGGCACAGAGCATCTGCTCTTTCTGGACATTGCAGAAAGAAGGGCATGACTTTAATGAGAAGCTGCAGAAAAGCAGCTGAATATACTGTTTATGCATTAACTCTCAGCTTGTGTGAGCTCTCGGCGTGGAGGGAGCCGTGCCCCTGTGCTGTCTCCTCCGGGAGCTGAAGAAAGGCAGTCTCCCAAGCCTTCGTACTCTGAAGCTGCACTGCTTTAAAGACCTTCCCCTTCCCAGGCTGTTCCTCACTGCTGGAGCGGCTCAGCCCATTTCTGAAGCCAACAGTGGCCCGTGGCTCCTTCTCCCACTGTAGCACAGGAATGGCGCTGCTGGGCTGGAGATTCTCCTCCCAAAGAGGTTTCTGCATTTTCACCATGGCTCTGCCCAATGAGCGGTTTCTTTCCGAGGGTCGAGCTTACCAGCACCCAGCCTGCAGACAGAGATGGGAGAGAGAGACGAGAGAGAAAAGTTTTAACTTACAAGTGAGCCTCAGACATAAGCAGGGACTGATCTTCGGAGAGGTGTATGGGGGAGAGGTGGCTCAGCTCCTGTTGATGTGACCCGAAGTGATGCACCCAAACCGAAAGGACAACAGCCTTTGTGGGGAACGCGTGTCCCATAGCACTCAACCCAATGGGAGGAAACTGTCCAGACTGAGCTCATGGGGAAGAGCAATGAGAAAAGAGAGCTCTGCTCTACAGAAGTGCTGCCGGCCTCCCTCACCTTGCATGCAAGAGTTGCCATAGAAAACCATTAGCATTTCAGTAGCAGTGAGGTCGAGTATTCGCCAACCTCCCGCCTGCCACGTGATCTCTGTTTAACCAAATAGATCATTGCCTTTGACATCTTTCTTTTCTGTTTTTTTCTTCTCTTTTTTTTTTTTTTTCTTCAAATCCTTTAAAAATAAGAAAACAATTGTAGCTTGGTGCAAGCTATGCATTTAAGTTGTGTGAAAATGCAAATACCAAGTAACAGAATACAGATATTATTGAGATTTGTTGTGAGGTGTTGTAGATAAATGTATTTATATGCCTAGTGAGGGATTCAATATTATGAATATAAAAGAGGGCAATAAAAATGGTATGTAAAATATGTATGAAGAAAAAGGTGTATAAAGATTTGCCCTATGCACGGAACTCTGTTTCTAAGTGCCAAGCACAGAATGCGCTAAATAAATCTTTGCAATTGTTCCCTCTGTGTTTTTCTCTGTCTGTGAGGCTTCCTCAGTGGTCTTCTAGAGACAGACATTTTCAGGATACTGCCATGCCTGTTTGCACAGCAGAGGAAAGGAAAGACGGGGTGCTAAATTGTGAAGTCCAGGCAATATTACAATAAAAATTAAAATTCTGTCTTCTGAAGAGATTTTAAAAATCGAGTGTTTGGGATGTGTAAGGTGCCTGCCTTCACAGGAAGTGTGTCTTATGGACAGCTAGAGTTGTCATTTTGATTGCTAAAGTCTAATAAAAAGCTCTTCAGAATAATTTTTCACAGTCAGTGTAGAAAACAATACTTACAAATAAGCATAATTTGTTTCTCATTTTGAAATGTCATTTTGGGGTATGTGTCAGTTTTTCATTTGCACTACATTTCAAATATGAGATTGAGACATCAATACTGAAAGCAGTGGGGAAGCTGAAGCACCCCCAAACTTGGCTGTAAGTTATGGCTGCAGAGTTTACAGCTTTCCTTGTGTCAATAAACTTTTTTTTTCTGAATTGAAATAGCACCAGGAAGGTAGAAAGACCTTGAAAGATAAATTCTGCAAGCATTTCTTAATTTTTATTTTTACAGGGGAAGATAAATATACCGATACCGTTCCCAGTTCTGTGCCTAGCCTGTCCAACTGTATTCTGGCTTTCATTGTGTCTAGCCGTGGATGCTGCTGAAAAGGGTTGGAGCGACTACGGATGGGAGAGAATCTGTCCCTCTCCTTGTTGTCTTCTGTTTACCCCTAATAATTAATTCTTGGTTTAATCTTGTAACGGGGAGTTCTATAGCCTTTCTAAAAGTCCTTTCAGAATCTTTCAGAAATATTCTTCAATCTGTACTTTGAGGTTTGCCGTGCTTTGGGTTTGACTCCATCCTATGGCAACGATTTCTACAGGTTAATAGTATGTCGTGTGAACTAGTATTTCCTTCTGCCGGCTATTTGTGTTAGATTGCTCTTTCTTATTTATTTCGTTTAATTCTTTGTGAGTGAGTCTGTATTTCAGCTAAGAGGAGAATGTGATTCAACAAGATCAAAATCATTCTCAGTATGAAAATATACATTTCTAATCTTGAATAAAACAAAAAAATAATTTAATAAAAAATTATCACTGGAAACAGTCGCTGAAGAAAGCAAAAGACAGATGTAGGGCACAACCTTCAATATTAGTGCGCAGAACTGGAATCCCAGTTTCCGTGCATTTTAGTAGGAGTCCGTGGGGAAGAGCTTTGAAATTGTCACCCAGACTCTTCAACAATATGATCCATCAAGGTACTGAGCACCCTGTCCCTGATGCAACCAAGCTCTTCAGCATACTGAGATAATGTTACTCCATCCAACTGCCTTCAGTATGAAACTTATTGACCTTAGGGTGAGCATTTATTGACCATATTTATTGACCATATTTATAGACACATTTATTTAGCTCTTTTGTGGCACATATATAAAACGGGAGAGATTAGTTAGCTAGATAGTTATTCCTTCATCTTAGCATATGTTTAAGTGTTTCGTTGATTCCGGATCAGAATATTTAGCATCAAGACTGAAAAAGAACAGGAAAAAAATACCTGAGAGAGGCTTCTCTGTCCCAAGATGTAAAACTGTAAATACACAAATATGACTTGGTGTGAAAGTTACACTGACAGTCAATGAGGATTAAAAACAAGCTAACAGTGAAATGGGAAAAAAATAGTAAACTTTATCCGTGGTTGTCACTGTGCAAAGCAAAAGCAGAGCAGTGTTTGGAAGGCAGTATCAAAAATAACAGGCTAAAGCATGTTAAAATGATTTACTTAGTGTTCAGTTAGGTGCACAGGTGAAATCCTCCTAGGATACCGCTCCCTTTAGCAGAAAACCTGCTTAAGGCCTTGACACCTTCCCAGAAACACAAGGTGAGCATTATATTTGAAACGGACTCAGGTGTGACAGAGGTATCTCGTGTACAGCAGTGGCTCTTCTCCCCCCGCCGCCCCCATAGGCACACAAGGCTCTGAGCCATTTGCCACTTTTCACTGAGGCTTCCCAGAGAAGAGGCGATGGCAAAGGGCAATGGGAGAGATGCACTGGGGCCAGTCTGGGAGATCAGCTTGGGACCAGCTCGCCTGGTGGGCAGCCTGGGTTGCAGCACACACAGCAGCCACCCTGGGAATGCTCCCTTTCCTTGGGTGACTGCCCTAACCACAGGGCCTGAGAGCCCTTCTGGCATGGTCATGCTCTCATCCAAGAACCCTTTGATTGCTCATTTGAAAGCATGTATGCGTGGGGCGCAGAGGTGGCTGTTGTGTGGTTCCTTTCCCCTTTCTTCCTTCCCTGCTTCACCACGAACATTTGAACCCCTTGGCCAACTTTAAGCAGCTTTGATAGTGTGGTCAGAGTTGCAAAGATACAAGTTCTCACATGTTTCTTTAGAAGAGACACGGAGGAGGACAGGGCCCTTATTCACTTTCCCAGTGCAGGGAAGGCCACCATGTGACATCTCCTCATTCAAAGAAGCCACACAAGGATCAGGTATCCTGCATGCATGCCCCCCCCACCCCCCAAGTTTCGTCTGGCATAAGCATGTTATTAGACACCAGAGGATCTACAAAGAGCTGCAGAAACCAGGGAGTCTTTCCTCCACCACTCCTGGGCTGACCCATTTGCTCTTAGCCCATGCAGGCTTCTGGCTTCCAGTCCAGGAGAAGAGAAGGCTCTCAGAAGCTGCAAATTTAGAAGGTGAAACATCATGTACCTCTTTGAAGAAGTACCCATTTTTAAAAGCCCAATCCAAATGCCAGGAAGGGTAGTGGAAATCTCGATGATAGGAGATCCCTCATCTTGCAGCACAAGCTGTTCCAAATGCAAACCTGGCAACTTGTTACACAAATGAAAAGGATGGGGCAGAAATAATCAGAGCAGGTTTGTCAGCTTTGCAAAGTTTATTTAGCTTCATTCCTTAACGCACTGACAGGCACGGGACATAAATATTAACATGACCACAGCTCAGCAAAACCAGGACTTTGCACTCCAGTGCGACATAGTGTTCTTGGAGGGAATGTAAGTACTATGTGCAAAATGCTCAGGGTACAAACATAAATACAATTTAGGTACACAGCCTGTGACATTATGTTAAATATACTACAGCAAAAATTACAGCAGATGATCTACTAGTGTGGTTGATTTATTGCACACTGGGTGAAGCTTTACTGATGTAGGTGAGGGCTGACAGCTAGTCACTTGCCATTAAAAAAAAGAAAAAGTGTGCAGATTTTTTTTTCCCCCAACACAACAAGGCACATTCACCCAGAGCACACCTCCCATGGTAGATTAGCACTAGAAGATGAGTTTTGCAGGATGTTGCTTCTTGGGCATCGTTCTAAACAAAACAACAACATGAAAGTGCACCCAAGGATTGGGTAGAGAAATACCTCAGCATGCCAATGACATGCTGTTTCTTCTGTTTCTTCCTTAGAGAACCAGCCTGCAGGACCAGGCCTGTAATCCAGCATTTTGAGTCCACTGGTGGGACCATTCCTAAGAGCTTGTCTGTTGGTCTGCTGGGAGGGGTTTGCATAGCCTGCTGCTGACCCACAAAACTGCTGCTGGAAAAGTGGCTCACTTTTCTGACTGCT